CGACCGATCATGTCCCCCCTTTGATTAACCCTTTAAACCCAACTAGAAAACTACTCTAGCATGGTTAAAGAGATCATCAAAGTAAGGTTTAATACACTCATAAGAAATAGATAAATAAGAACTGAATAAAGTTTAGAGATTACTTCTTTGAATGTAGAATACAAGACGTAAGACTTCACCTTAATAGATCTTAGAGTTAAACAAAGAAAAGAGAGAGATTTCGTGGACTTCAAGGCTTCAGATTCAAAGTGGTGGATGCGCCTTCAAGAGAGGCAGGTTTGCGCGGCACCAAGAAAGAACAAAGGAGGCACGAAGAAGGCACACCTAGGTTTAGGGTTTTGATCGAGTATTTATAGGTCTTGGGGACCAAGGAGTCGGTTTAGGGGTAAAAGTGTCTTTTCCCGTTGATTAGGTTAAGTGTAGCTCGAGTTTCTGGAACGGTTAGAAGTCTTCGTGACCAGTGGTAAGAGTAGATGGCAGCCCGGGCACGGGCTTGATGGCCGGTGTGGCCTTGAATCTCCGGAACGGTTGTATAGCTTCAGGCCGGTCTGGACATGTCTTTACTCTTCTGGTCATAACTTCCGAATGACTAAATGGATTGCTATGATTCCACTTCGAGGCACAGCTTGACTATTTTAGCTTTTCACAGCCACCAAGATCTTTGGATTTGGTAATTGGGAAGACCTCGAACGGACGTCATACTTCTGACGTATAGAAACTGTCTTGAAATGGGTTTTGATCGCCTTTTGCTCTTTAATGTTCAAAAACTGTTAAAACCTTCTTGGCTCCTAAAATTCTTGAATATCACCTTTTTGGCTCTGAAAATACACCAAATGCTTCCTAAAACATAAGAAAACAATAGCAAATATGGGTGAAAATCTAATGTTATCATGATTCGACTAACAAAAGGTACTAATTTATGTTCATTAGACTTGGTGATTAAGAGTTATGTTTCCCATTTCAATAAAAAAAAGGGAGAAAAAGAAAAAGAAAACAAAAGGAAAAGAAACAGTTACGATTAAGAGAGTTTAATGGCATAAGAGAAGTCACAAGGAAAGACATGGATCACTTTAGAGAAGAGATGGAGTCATTCACAGAGAACCATGTAGAAAAATCTAAGTCTGGGGAATTGAAAAGAAAAAGAATAAAAGGAGAAAAGGTGTTACACGAAAAGTGGTTGGAAACTGAGGATATCAGCAAGTCCGTTTTCTCTTGCAGTTTTGCTACATATCCTACATTTTTCGCAATCACCTGGTAAACCCTAAACACTTAAATCCGCCATCAAACACCAAAAGCCCCTTTCATACCAAGCAACGTCTACCCTGAATGACACCTCCTAATTATAAAGCTCAAACCACTTTTTAATGTATGTAGAGAGTTAACTATTGTGATCTCAGAGTCCTCTTGTATGTTTGAGATGGATGGATCAGGATTGTGAATGTCGTGAGTCTATAATGAAAATGTTCTAACGCGATGTTTCTGTATTTATGAGTCTGCATGTCATCTTTTGGAACATGGTCTCTGAATATAAGAGAGTTCCCACGAATTTCAAACCTCTCCATCGGTTTTACTTTCTTGTTTGCTTGAGGACAAGCAAAGTCTAAATCTGGGGGAGTTGATAACTTCGTATTTTGATCCATTTTTGCTATAGTTTTCTTACGATTTTAAGAAGTGTTTGACATGGTTTTATTTCTTTAAAAGGTGTTTTCAAGTATTTCTAGTTTGAAAAGGTCTTTACATGTTTTTATGCAAAAAGACCAAAAAGGAGTAAAACTCGTTGTATAACAGATTTGGAGCATCAAAAGTATGACATACATGGAAGGACTTTATCTTCACCAAAGTTGATGATCTTGGAGTCGTTGGAAATATAAAAGAGTCACTTTTCCCCTCCAAGTAGAATGACATTAAACCGTTGAGCCAATCTAAAGATATGACCGATATATTGAAGATACACTCATAGAGGGAGCAAGCATAGAATGAAGATTTGACCAAAGAACAATCACACCATTCACCAAGACCATGACCGGTAAAAAGAAACTCATGGGTCCGGTCACAAGCTAACTATCGGTGCCAAATCATTCTCCGACTCCTTTTTACCAAAACGACAACACTTCAATTATTTCGACTAGAGAAAATCCCTAAACCGATCTAGAAGACTTGTAGAAATACACCCTTTAGACTGCTTAGAAGAAATAAGACGGCCTCTTAGCCGTAAGGCTCTCCACAAAACTCGATCTCTTGATCGCGAGCTCTCTCTCGCACCATTTCTGTAGACCTAAATACTTTCTTTCATAGTTTCTTCTTTGTTATTCGTTCTATTGCTTCAAGGAAGCCGAATCCTTCTTTTGTATCTCATAGATGAGTATTCTAAACCCTATGACTTCTCTATTTATGTTTATGATTTTGTTTTGATTTTGCTTTGATTTCTTCTTGTTTGATTAGTTGCTTTGTTTGGGATTGAAGAGTTTTTTTATAAGATTTCTTCTTCTTCTTTTTTTGATAGATACGAGGGCCAATCGTTCCCCACGTTTCTCTCTCTTCTCTCTCCTCAAAAACCAGATCTTTTTTGATAGATAAGAGCTTTTTCGTTTTTTTTTTTATTTCTCCTTCTGGTTCTTCATCGCAGGCGTGAAATTTCTCGGTTAAACAGGAGTGGGCCAGCTTTCTTCTCCGGCAGCGTTGGGTGTGGAGTATTAGTTGGTGTTGCATCTGTGGTGACTATTACGGCGGTATGGAGAAGACTCTGACGATTTTGCTTCTGGTCAAGGACGCTGGAGGTTTCGTGGATGAGGTTGCTCTCGGTTCAATTGCTCGTGGTGGTAGCTGCTGTTGCGGCGGAAGACGCTAACAAATCGGTGGGTTTTTTTGCTGCTTGTCAAGGCTTTTAACATTAGATCTGTCTGGATCTGATGGCTAATTCGGAATATGGCTGATGAGTGTTATGGTTTGAGCCGCCGTCGCTCTCAGCTCCCAAGATTTTGTGATTCCTTGACTGGATCTTAAGATAGCTAGGTTTTCGGAGATTTCACGTTGGATGGTCGACGCCGGAGACTGAGGGATAGATCTGCATCCTCTCTTTTTGCTAGGTAGGGGATTAGAGGGGAGGGGTATCAGATTTTCTAGGAATCGATTTATTTCGGGAAAAATGTTGGGGGTTCAGGTTTGTCGGTGGGATTGACTTTGCGAAAGGAATCGATTACTCCAATCAAAGAGATGGTCTCGCCGACCTAGCAGCGAAGTAGTGTTTTTTTGTAATCGCCGGTTGTAGTGGTGTGGCTCCCAGTTTCCGACCACCGCTCATTTCTGATCTCAAGTCACCGGTGTTGTTGTCTGTGTTTTCTTCATTTTGTAACCGTGGATCTGATGTAATGCCCATAGCCTAAAGCCCAATTTGGGATGGATTAATATTATTATTATTATTAAAAAAGGAGTTTTTTTTATAGAATTATCCTATTGATTCGTTTAGTTGCTGATTTTCAGAATGGATTTTAAAATTATTTCTTTTAAAAGTGGGTTGCCGCATTATTACGACCTGTACTATTTCCATTCTCAATGTTTCGACCCAAACTTTTCGACCCTTTGTAAATAGACATAAATTTTCTTTATTCTGCATAAAACGACCTCAACTTTTTTTTTTGTTCAAATATATGCACCTCTAATTGAAACAGATAATCCTGACTCTAAACCTGATTAAACTGCTAAATCGCGATTAGTATTTCGCGTTTGACCTGATTCGAATTTGTTGTGTTTGACCCGATAAACCCAGTTAAGAAACGACGACGTCGTGTGTTTTAATAAGAGGAGAGTGAAAACAAACCCAATTTAAAAATCGATTTGGGGATATTGCTGAGTAGCGAGGCTGATTTCTTTTGCAACAGCGGCAGAGAGAGGAGCACGGATCTTCTCAAGCTCTTCAATAAGGACGACGACGGCTGGCAGCAATAATCTTGGAGGTGATTTACCATATCAGTTTCCTCCAAATCTGCAACGATTGTACGGTCCATCAATTCTCCTTTTTCCTGGTTTCTAATGTAATATCCGTGCTCCCAACCGTATAATCGTCGGTTTTTCAGGAATCTTGTGAATAATCAATTCACTGGAGCTGCTTCGTACTCAATTTCTCAGATAACCACACTTAAGTATTTGTAAGTAATTTCTTCACTTCACATTTCTCTCCCATAAAGATGTGAATATTAAATTTTTGTCTTGTGCAAAGCAAAATAAAGAGATGTTTGCAAAGAAGAATTTGATATTGAAACATAACGTGGTGTTGGTCTACGATAGGCTCAAGGACATTCCTTGCTTGGTCTGCAACAAGAAACCTGAGTCATGCACATACTTATTGGTACCAACAACAACATCTCTTATACTCTTTCATGATTCTTGATCAATTTGGATGATCCTTAACTAACAATAAATAAACTGCAGACGAAACTGAAGCTTCCATTATTGGAGGACATAGAAGATGACATGGATTTCTGTATGAAGCTTCTTATGCAGGTTTTAATGTACGATCATACTCAAGGTCAAGGTCAAGGTCCCGGTATGAATCGAGAAGCAGAACCCCGAGTTCCGGATACCAAAGGTGATTTGAAGCAGGTGGTGGTGAAGATGGGGTCTAGTGATACACTCTGGGATTTAGTAATATATGAGTAAGCATTTGTGATTTAGTACTCTTTGAGAGAGAGAGAGAGAGAGAGAGAGTGATGTGGAGGAACAATAATAAATCATAGTTGGAGTAGAAGAGAAACCATTGTGTTGTTTGGTTTCACTTCTTATGCAGGTTATGCAGATATTTCACTTTTGTTGTTTGGATTATGTAGTAATAGGTTTGTGAGATTATGTAATGTCGTTGATTTAATCTTTATCTTTACATTCAACTCGAGAATCAACATAAATCAGTGATATCTTCTTCGTCTTTCTTTATTTATTTGTGTTGTTGGTCTGAGAAATTTGGAGAGGGACGTTGAGAAGAAGAAGAAGACGAGAGAAAAATGATTTGTGAATTGTGATGGAGTAGACACTCCTAAAACCAAAATAGCATTGAGTAGCAACCAAAATAAATCGTTTACATTGAGTAGACTCCTAAAACCAAAGCAAAACCTGCAACATTCCTCTACTACCAACACAAATCCGCAACAGTCTTAAAACCAAAAAAAAGCCAACAGTCCTAAAACCAAAAAAATCCTGCAACTATTTCTCAACTCCTAGACATTGCTTCCTTGTGTGAGTGTTTCTGGTCCCTGTGAGAGTGTGATTGTATCTGGTGCTTGAGATGTAGATGGACAAACCTGAAACACAAACATCATACATTAAAACCCCACAATCAACAACCACTACACAATCAAGTGTAAATGAGAACATACCTCATCATTTTCTCTACTCTTTTTTCTCTTCTTACTTGTCTCACTCTTCTTACCCTTCTTACTTGTCTCACTCTTCTTACCCTTCTTACTTGTCTCACTCTTCTTACCCTTCTCACTCTTCTCACTCTTCTTACTCTCCTTTTTACTTTTCTTTTCTTTTGGAAATTTAGGACATCCAGCTGAGTTGTGTCCTGCTTCACCACACTTACGACAATGCATGATCCTTCCTTTTCTTTCGAGTTTGAGTATCCATGTTTCCTTTCCATCCTTATTTCCTTTCTTCTTCTTCTTCGGTGACTCATTTTTTCCTTTAATCCGATCAAACTTCTTTTTCTGCCCCTTCTTTCTCCCAAGAAGAATTGGATCTTCTAGTTTGGTAATCAAGACATAGTTGTTGGTCATCCAAAAACGTGGACCTCTAACCGGCTCAGGACCTTTCTCATACACTTCTTTCCACACTTGAGTACTAAAGTATGGGGATGCATAATCATCAACATCCTTGTTAACATCTAAGATGGCTGCATAAGCATGCTCACAATGAATCCCGGTGATTTGCCATTTACCGCATGAACACTCCCATTTCCCAAGTTTCAAATCCACATAATGTGAATTTCCATCCAAATGAACTTCGTACTTACCATGTGTTCCTTTTGTTAGCTCACATCGCATAGCATCTTCTTTCTCTTCTTCTAATATATCGGATGCATACTCAGAGAGCTTCTTCTTCCATTTTTCAATTTTTAGATTTCTCTTTGTAATTCTCCTCATCGCCTGCCTTCTTATTGTTTCCAACATTGGAACCAATGCCTTTGCCATTGCCTTAACAATAGTGGAGTTGAAGGACTCTGTTGCATTGTTGTCCACATCTTCACAACAACTTCCAATCTTATAGTAAGCTCTAGACCAACTTTTTGGATCCTCCTTCATAACATCGTCATATAATTCAAGATCATAAGCTCTAATCTTCTTTAAATTAGCTTTAAAATCTGCATCGTTGTAACTCCAAGCTAAGTGCCAAACAAGTCCTTTTAGCAAGTCTTTATTAGCATGCCTACCCTTCAAGTTCTCCACTATGTGTTTGACACACATTCTGTGCTCAACATTTGGCAACTCATTTTTAACTGAACTTATAATTCCCTATATAATCACATAAACAATGATGTTAATAGACAATAATACAACACTGAATTGAAACTATTAAGACTAACAAGAACACTCGCTTTAGAACGATCAGATATGATGACATAGTTAGTCCCATCTTTTAGATCCAAATCAGCCTTGAGTTGTTTTAGAAACCATAACCAGTTATTAGCATTTTCAGTTTGTACAGCTGCCCACGCAATTGGATAAATCTGATTGTTTGAATCATGAGCAATAGCAGTAAGCAAGCAACCTTTGATAGCATGTTTCAGGAAAGTTCCATCAATCCTAATGATAGGCCGACAATAATAGAAAGCTTTTTTCATTGCTCCAAGACACACATAAAAACGGTTAAAAACGTCTTCACCATCAGCATTACGAATGGTATCAACTATTGATGTGGATCCTGGATTTGAACCTTCCAGTTCAGCCACATAACCTCTAAGATGAGCAAAATGTTGAGCATATTCTTCTCGAAGCCACTTTAGAGCTAAAAGTCTTCCTCTTTGCACTTGTCCTATAGAACTCAGTAGCTTCCATTGCTCCTTAATATGCTGTTGAATATCAAGCGGCATGTAATCAGGATGCATCCTTAGTTTGTCCATGAAAAGCTTTCCAATCACAGGACTCTTCAACAACTTGCATTTCCCATTAGCAGTGCAATATGATATCCACACTTAGTCCTCAAAACTCACAGTTGTTTACTCTTATCGAATGCGCAATATACTTTCCAGCACAATTCTTATCACGACCACACCTAAAACCAATTTTTTCCTTCCCATACCTTTCTTGTCTAATGTTTTCTCTCGACTTCAACGCATGATGTAACACAACCTCTTTGATCTCAAACGCAGTGAAAAATGTTCTACCGATAGCTAAGTTATCATCAATTCCCATCCTAATTCTCCTATCTCTAATAATTATTGGATCTTCCTCTTCATCTGAACTCTCAGGGATGGAATTTTGATTAATCCTAAACTCATCAGACCAGCTTGCTACAGATTCTTCTATCTCAAACTCAAACCTTTCCACTATATCGTCTTCCTCTTCAACCTTACTCTTCTTTTCCGTTTTTCCTTGTGTTTCTTCGTTGTCTTCTTCCACTTCAGACTCCTCTCTCTTCCGCTTTGCCTTGCTTCGCCTCGCCTCATTCTCTGGTTCAACATCGCTACCATTTGCTATGTCGTCCCCATCATCCTCACTCTTCTCTCCATCATCGCCACTCTCGACGACGTCTTCATCATCATCTCCATCTTCCCCGCTCATGTCTCCATCATCGCCACTCTCGACGACGTCTTCATCATCATCTCCATCTTCTCCGCTCATGTCTCCATCTCTTCCAATGTAATCGGGATCATCTGGATCACTCTCATAGATTAACTCTGTCATCGGCATCTCTTCTCTTTGAAATCTCTCAGAACCCTTTTTCCCCAAATGAGCAAACCCTAGATTAATCGATTCGATTTTGTTCTCTCCAAACCAGATGACGTCGTTTTTTACATGGGTTTATCGGGTCAAACGAAACAAACTCGGATAAATTCAAACGCAAAACAGTAAACGCGATTTAGCGGTTTAATCAGGTTTAGAATCGAGATTATCTATCTTGATTAGAGGTGCAGATATTTGAACAAAAAAAAAGAGTTGAGGTTGTTTTATGTAGAATAAAGAAAGTTTATGTCTATTTATGAAGGGTCGAAAAGTTTGGGTCGAAATATTGAGAATAGAAATAGTACAGGTCGTAATAATGCGGCAATCCTTTAAAAGTTCATTTGTTTTCTTTATTAAAAGCCCTAAAGAATTCTCCTTGACCAATATTTTAATTAATTGATTTTGTTTATTTTTATTTATCAATCAACTATGAGTTTAAGAAAACTCGTATTTTTTTCCTAGCGTTTGAATAAACATAATTCATAGTGTTTTGCTTGGTCGTCGTGGATTCGATCCATAAAACTATACTATCTCGTTTGCTGTGCACTTGTATTATATATATGGGGTAAAACTTGTGCTTAAGAACTTTAACTAACAAGAACACACAAAAGACTACATGCTTTTAAAGAAAACACTTGGTTTATTAATTACTTGAATGGGACTGAGTTTTTACAATGGGGACGAACTAAGCTTATATAGAGCTCTTACACAACGTTTTAAATGACTAAACCGAAAAAGAAATCGCAAACATTAAAAGAAACTAGTCGATGGACAATTTAATGTAAAATCGGTTTAAATAAGAAAGAGTCGTTGGTTTGTATCTTGACAACTTAGGAAGGAAGTGATGCGTCCTTGGCATGCTCTGATGCACAAATAAGTTCTCCATAAGGCATAGCTCAAGGTAAAATTAGTTGTTGGGTGTGATGAATGCATCCAAATAAGGCAAATGGAGATTCAACTTGCTGTCTTAGGCCTTCAACGTTTTGGAATGAATATGGAGGTATTCCTGGACCAAAAGGGAAATATATAATGCCTTGAGAAGTTTCCCAAGTCGTGGCTTCAGCTGGTGGTTGTCACCACTCCATAGTTTCTTTAAATATGTCTGCTTTAAGGCCTCCAAGACCATCTCATAAACCAGCTCGAACTAGGCCTGATTTCTCTTGATAAATTTTCTTAGAATAGTTTTTTGCTGGTAGAAATGGAATCCCAGATCCTACAATTGAAGGATTGACTCCATGGTTGAGTATACTCCATGTTCCGTATTGCTACTCATACCACCTCTCACACCGGTCAACTTCTAGGTATTGTTGGTACTTATTCTTAAATCAATATGCTCGACTGAAAAAAGTCTAAGTCTTCTATTCTAGGGTGTATCTGTTGCACATCTCATCTCGAAGGCTGTATCGATCTACATATTGCTTTTCATTGGTTTTCATCCAAATACTCCAACCTGGTACCTAAAATGACTCAGTGAAATTGAAAAAACCATAAGAGTAAAAATTTGTAAAGATTGTGACATATCACAAAACTTTTGATACTTTTACTCTCAGTGAAATACCAGTCACATCTTTAATCAGTTAACTGAAAACACCTTAGGAAAAAGCTAGGTTTCCAAAAATAAACAATAAAATGTATTAAACTTCTTTAATTTGAATTTATGAGTACTCAAGCATAAAACGTCAATGATTGGCATTTATAACTGTGGTGCTAAAAATGATAAAATAAATAATTGTATTACACAAATGTTGACAATTTTTTTTTTATTAAACATATCTTTAAGGGCCATATCACTATAAAAATGTAAAATACATAAAATGAGAGATGAGAGAGATATGGCTTTCAATCGGTGGAAGATTCATAATTTATTTATACTTGGGCAAAACCAGGTCTGGACATAAAAACCGAACTTCGAAAACCGATTTGAAAAATTCGGGTTCGAAACCGAACCGAATATTCATAAAACTCGAACAGATTCTAAATGTTTTTACCGGAATCACCCGAACCGAACATACAACCAAACATTATATTCGGAAACCTGAAATAAAATTAGATATCAAAAAATATATATTAGTTATATTTTTATAAACAAAAATATCCGAAGTAACTTAGATATCCAAAAATCATTAGTTATACTTGTCAAATTTTTACAACTTTTTGCAAAACTTAAGTAAATATAAAATTGAACAATTTTAAGTTTTTTTTTTCCAAAAACTAATCCGAATCCAATACCTATCCGAACCGAATAGTCATAAAATCCGAACGAATAATAAACTCTCCTACCCGAACTATCCACATCCAAAAAATTTGAACCGAATGTTATCCAATACCCGAAAGCATAAGCCTAGACACAACTTTAATGAATTTGAAAATTTTCAAGAAATTATTTTTACATGGACATAATCTAATAAATCTGCAATAATGAAAATAATTTTTGTTTGTTCATTATATCTAATAAAATGAAGCATATCTTGCATCCGCCATTATTGTGTTCTTATAACTCGTTATTCTAGAGTATATTATACCTATTTACAAAAAAAAATATTGGCCAATTAATGTCCAAACTATGGACTTTCGTAAAACACCACCATCTCAGACTGTCTATACTTAAGTACAATAAAACCTCTATAAATAAATACTCGATAAATTAATAAATACAATAAAATAATAAATACTGATGGTCCTGAGTCGGCCCACTGTAAAATTTAACCAAAATCGATAAAATAATAAGATAATATTTTTTTTGAAATTCCTACAAAAATATGGCCCAAAAAATTTATAAATTAATAATCATGTTAATTAATATTATATATACAATATTTTTAGTGTTGTTCATAAAAAATAGCCAAAAGTTTATGTAAGTTTTCAAATTTTGAATATGCATAATTTTTTGTTTTAATAGTCGTATAGGTTTTTCAAATACAATAATGGATGTCACTATTTATAAATTTAAATTTATGTATATTGTTTCTATATGTGAATTATATAATCTTTGTTATTCATTGTAAAAAAAAAATTGTTTTCTCTTCGATATATTAAATGTTCAAGTCTAAAACTGTAAATTTATAACATCCAAAACATTAATCTTATTTAGATCACATTTTTAAACTCATATTTAAAAAAAAAAACATTTAACAATTAAAACAAAACTTTCTATAAATTAATAAATATTAATTTACACTATAAATTAATAAATATTAATTTATAAATAAATTAATATCACTATAAATTAATTAAATACATGGTCCCAATATTATTAATTTATAAAGATTTTACTGTATAGATCAATATCTAATCCGAACCATCATTCCATTTTATGATTTGATCCTTAAATGAATTTATATAGATTGTTTAATTCTGAGATACATAATGATAGAGTCAATATGCAACAGATTTACCAAATGAACCGCATATAGCAAGTGAAATACATCTATACTAGTATTTTTGCAACACTTTGGTGACGGGTGGGTAAAAATGCTTCCGGGTATATCGGATATCCGACCCGTTTTTAACTGTTTTGAATCATCATATAATCCATAAAGTAACAAAAAAAATCAATTTTTTTTTCTGCATATACTGTGATTCGAAATTTTAAAAACGGACATATATTATCCAATTGACGAAAATATGTGTTCAACGTTCTACATCGATTAAAATATTTAGACAATGATTCAAAATCATATCATAAATAAGATCAACATTAATAAATAAATGAGTTTTTTGACCGGACGGGTTTAGCGGGACGGGTTTTTGAACCAACAATAATAAAAAGATTAAAATATCATTAATCCGCCGCTTCAATACGGATTAAATCCTTTTTTTTAATACCACCAATATTAGACATATTAAATCAGTCTCATTTAGAAAAGATTGTATAAAACCAAAAATTGTCCCGTGATATAATGTTCCTTAATAACAATATTTATAAAATTTTAAAATATCATTAACATGCCGCTTTAATATATATTAAATCTTCAGTTTATTAAAATATAAATGTCTTAGAGAATGATATGATTTGTAAACTTTTATATAATAAATAATCATTAAATTTTAAAATAAAAACAAATCACGGGACGGGTTAAGAAATTACGGAACGGGTTATATTTCATAACGGGTTTATATGGCGGACGAATTTGAATCAATATTTATATACTGCTTTAATACGGGTTAAATCCTCAGTTTATTAATAATTGTCTTGTGGACTCGTGGTATACCGTTACTTAATAACAATTGTAAACTATAATGTAAATAAATATTTTATAAGGAGATACAATTTACAAAATATTTTTATACTAACTTTAAAAATAATTCATCCCGCGGTGTACCGCGGGTTAAAATCTAGTTGTATGTATTAGATCGAATTTCCATTTATTTTACATTTCAATCATCTTTTATGTTAAATTTAAATTTGTTTATAATTTTTGGTTAAATTGTAAAATGTTATTGCTTGAAAATCAAACTTACTTCGATTTGGTAAAGTTTATTTACTCCACTTTTGACCTTCTATATAGGTATTCAAAAATAATGTGAACTATTGATTTATTTTTGAAAAAAGATACCAACAAATTTGAGTAGATGATTTCATCTTAGTAATTAACACAACAACAATGTTCTGGACTACAATAGCCGTAATCAAAATTTTTAGTTCTACAATAACTATCGCACCCATGGACTCCACGGTAAAGACACCAAGTTGGTGTAAAACATGTCTTCGTACGCCCCCCTATACCATAACCTGTTTTATATAAAGAATCAATACGCCCCCCTATACCATAACAAAAAACAAAAGCATATCCATAGTTAAAAGCAGGGATATAATAATAAACAATTACCTGGACTACCACCAGTACGACAATGAGCAGAAGACATAATGAAAAAGACAGTGAAAACAAATGCGACAAAAGTTTTCATAGTAGTAGTCATTTTTATGTTATTCTCTGAACTTTGTTTTTTGATTTTTCCTATACCTAAACACTAGTTATATATAGATAATAACACAGATCTACATTAAAAATCTTTTTTTT